ATAGGAATTGAGTTTTTAGAAACTCTTCACTACCCTTCAATATTGAATGACTGTTTTAGACTTGATTTCTTGAAGGAAAACAGTTTTTCCTTGCATTATTAAACCCCACTTTTGAGTCTCGATTTACGAGTAATTAAGGCTCTCCTTCATGATATTTTCTTAGATTGTACAAGTGTACAATCTCCCTTATTAACTAGGGGTTTTTAAGCAATAGTGTGTGATAGATAATTATTATTTGCTCAGGCACTCAAGGGAATTTTCAAGAGGATCTCACTGGGGATGCCTAAACACTTGATTGAGCACCACTCCCTTATTTTGATTGGTGAGTGTCAAGTGCATGTTTTGTTGCAATTATGTGAATTGCTCCTTATGAACTGAAAAATTGATAACTGCTGAGTCAAGTGTGTACTTTATCGCACTCGTTCTCATTAAAATGAATTGAAACTAAATTGCTTGAATTGAATTGAATTACCTGAACTGAATTATATGATATGGCTGCATATGTCATTGGAGTGAATCTCCTCGACCCATAACTGAACTGTATACATGTCGTTGGAGTGAATCTCCTTGACTTACAACTGAATTGGGGGACGCCCAAACTCATTGGCTGACCTTCGACTCGAGCCGACATGGGCTTGGTCGGGAACCTTGGAGAGCCATAAGAAAAACATAAGTTTGATCTATTGGAAAGATCTTGCTTGGTCTACTCGAGTAGTAGCGCCTTTTATAGCAGTTCGGACCTGGTGCGGTGTATGGTGGACAAAACTGTGAAGTAAGCGAAATCCTACGCACTTAAATGCCAACCCGGTTGACAGAATGTCATCACGGGAAGGTGTTCTATTAAGGTTTGACGAAGCAAGTGGAACTTACCTCTTGAAAGCTCTCATATTCTTGAATTGTTTCTGTTTACTTTTCTCACTCGAATTGTTAATTACTTATAAACTACTGTTTTATTTGCTAAATGTGATTGCTACTTGGACTACGTGTTTGCATGTGTATTTCTTGGCCTCACGAGCAATTGCTCACCCCGTAGATTTGTTTTTCTTAACAGGAACCGATATGGAGTGACATTCGAGAAGCCATTTGGATGAACTTTTGGTTTAGGGAATTAAATGTATTTGACTAGACAATTGAGAGTTGCACATTTTGAGAAAGTAAATGTATTTTAAATCTTGTAATGTAAGATTGAACCCTAATTGTATGGAAACGACTTCTCTTTATTATTTTGTCTTGTTTTATTGGTTATTATTATATTAAGCTTGAACGGGAATTATACCGATTCCTGGCGAGAGCTGGGTTGGCGTCCCGCTGATATCCTTTAATTCACCTTAGAGAGAGGTGGGGGCGTCACATTTTGGATGTAATTTTTTTAATTGAACTTCAGTTTGTTGCATTAATGTTTACAGAGAAGAAGGCCTGCTTCAAACAATCCTTCTACTTCAATAGCAAGAAGTGATGGTAGGACTAAAAGAACTAGAAATGGTCATGACAATCCTCAGGTGCTAGTTCAACCTACTTTTGAATCTACAAATGCTACATTTGGTAGCATGAATGCATCAACAAATGTGAACTCCAACAACATTAGTAGTACCAGTACTTTCAGCATATGTTTTGATTAACCAGTTAAACATGATTAGCTTAATATCTTTTGTATTCGGTGCTGCTATATGGGAAAGTACCATTAGTTAAGACACCTGAAATGTTTTTGTAAATGGTTGCTAACAATCTTTTACAATAGTAGTGGTGCAATCCTTACCATCTACATTACTGTTTGTTGTAGATGGTGTTTTGTACTTGTGGATTGCATTGATGGAAATGTGGATCAGCTATAGTATATAACTAGCATTTTAGCAAGAGTAATATCCTTGTTAGCGTCTTGAATGTGCCTTATCTTTTCATCGATCATACATGACTGGTTTATATGTTGACATTCTGCACTTATTACTAAGTATCTAGGAGTAGTTGTGAAGTACTGTAGCTATTCATTACTTCATACATGAGTCTATATTGATGCATACATGATTTTACATTGGTTTATGCAGAATTCTAATTCACATAGCCTGCATACATGAATTGCCTATCACTAAAAAAGGCATACTACAATTGATAGAATGTTGCTATACATTTACATGGGTTCATCTAATTGATTTGACTATTTGAATGAAAATAAATATAGCTAACAATATGAGGTTGATGATGAGCAGCATGTTTCCTAAACCACCTGGTAGTGGAAATAGTCTTTGTTGTTCCACTACAACTTCGGTTTGCCTTTCTGAAATGTCAAGAACTCTTCTACTAATGACTCCTTCCCTCTCTGTGTCTCAGTTGCTTCTTCTGCTATCAACTTCTTCTTTTTCTCCTTCATCATACCATTTAAAATAGTTGCATTTTGAATAGTAGAAATACAACTTGTCCGGATTCTTTTCACTCTCCGATATCTTTACTGTCGCCTTACGATTACAATAGCAATATCTGTTTTTAATAGTGAAAGATGTTGGTGAATTCCATGATTCTCCCTTTTGGCTTGAAGAGGCCATAATTTCCACTAAATGTTTTCAGTATTTCCTGTAAATGCAAAACTCTTGCTCCTCCCAATCATAAACCTGAGGGTGTACATGCACTTCTGATGTTTATATATGGTTGGAACTGATAAAAAAATCTAGCCATTGGAAGGTTGTAGGTAGCCATTGCTGTTCATGTTAAAACAATGCTTATGTCTCCAACCAGTGCTTGAAATTTCCTGAATTGTATTTATACTCCCTCAACTTTGATAATCATTTCAACTTTTTTAATAATTTGCAATCTTGTACTAATATAGGGAGTAAGAGGGCATTGATGGAATAAAATGTCATCTTTGTCATGACAATAATATTTGAATCGTAGTTTGATTGAATTGTTACCAAAATCTCAAAAGTAAGGGAGCTCAATGAAAATTTTAATACCTTGAGAGGGTGTCGATGCAAGTGTCAGAAATTTGTGAAATTATCCCGGAAAGTTAAACAGAAGAATTGAATAGTCCGCTGGAGGGACAACTTGAAAAGACAATTTATTAACCCAAAATAAATGAAATTTTAAGTAAGGACAATCGTTTAAGATGTCCCTCAAATTTTGTCAAACAATTTTTTCATCATTTGTTTTTAAAATATTAACTTTACATCCCTTACAATTACAAATCCAAATTGATAAAATTTGGTAGCAATTTAAGTTTTTGATCACCTTTTAATTTGAAATCATCATGTAACCCACATGCAACCATTTTTTTGTGTCTAAAAAGGTGAGATCCCACTCTTTTAGTGACAAAAAAAATATGGATTGGGTCCAATCTCTTTTTTTAAATAAAAAATAAATATGATTTGGGTCAGTCCAACAAAAGACAGAAATAAATATGGATCGGATTATTTGTTTAACTACAAATATTTTTTACAACTAAAAAATGAGCATGTGTGATCATGTGAAAAATTCAGTATAAAAATAATTTAAAAAATTAAGTTGAAACTAAAATTTAACTTGATTTTGTAAAGAATGTAAAGTTATCATTTTATATATGAAGGATAAAAAAATTGATTTGATAAAATGTGAGGAACGTTTTAAATTTTTTTAAAGGTACCTTCAATGAAAAAATGCACTGGAGCACTGGGGCAATTTCGTCCATTAAGACTATTTAAGAGAGCCAAAAAAAGAAAGGCATACAGTGGAAATGGAGGAGACCAGGAAAACTCTGGAGCGGGAATTCTATCTCCAACCAACTCTTTAAGTCACTTTCTCTGTCTCTGTTTCAGTTTCTGGTAAGTCTGGCATTTTGTCTCCTGTTTTCCTTCTTCTCCTCCTAACAATCTTATTTGGCTTTTTCCTTCCATTTTGCTTCTTTTTTAGTAGTAAGCCTGCATTTCTTCACTTCCTTTCCTTGTTTGAGTGTCTCTAATTTCTCTTTTCTGAATTTTTATCTGCTGTTTTGCCTTTTCTTTTCAATCCCAGCTGTAGTGATGATATGACATTATTCGTGTTGAAAATAATCATAAATTGTGATAAATTCGATCACTTTTGTTAGAATTTCGTTCTTAGAATTTTGCTTTTACAGCTTTAATTTGTAGCACTATGCTTCAGTAGTTACCCTCTTTTCCACCAGAATTCATCCAATGGTTTAAAAGAAAAAGGAATGAAAGAAAAATGTTTTGAATGCCTCAGCAATGAATTGGTTAGCAATAATGCCGAAAAAAAAAGTATTACTGGTGAATCTAGAAAATGTAATTGGCGATATTAGAAAGAGTAGTTGATTATGTTTCCAAATAATTTTCAATCCAAATGCACTTGTTATTTTTGGAAGGTAGAGCAACTAATCTTGTTGAGCTGCTTTTAATTAGTAACTCACCGGGAACAATTATAATTAGTCCATTGTCATGATCATATTATGTGCATCAGCTTTTGAGATAGTTAGTTCTCGCCCCAGATAGAGCCCTAGGATGGTTTTGCCTTGAATAGCTTATATTCGGGGTGGATAGATTCAAGGGATCTGGTATCTGATTTTATTTGATTTTTGTATGTCTTCATCCACATTTGTCAAAACTTTTGATGGGTTATATTATGCTTTTTCCAGTCTGGCAATTTGTCTTGCATTTCCTCTTATCAGTTTGCTTTGATGCTGGTTTTGTCATTTTCTTTCAGGCATATAATGCTTTTCTTGTTTTTCTTGTTGTTTACTACTATTTTCTGATTTTTGCATCTTATCTTGCAAATTTTACTTTGCCGCTGAGTTTGGTATTTTCATTATAGTGGTTATTTCTTTGCTCGATGATATGATTCTGGGATTTTCTTCTAAATACTGACTTTTTAGATGCATACACTTTGAAGACTTTTTAGACTTTTTTGACATCGTAGTGTTTTGCTCTGGTAGTGGCTGCGCAGATATTTGTCTTTTACAGCTAGAATTGTCACTCTAGGTGAAGGTCATTGTTGAATCAGCAGTGCATACTTTGAACTGCTATCGCATGTTTCACTTATAGGTTTGTCTTGGATTGACAAGCAATGTTTTGTCAAGAGCACGATACTGGTCGTCTTAGCTATTCAATCAGTTGCCCCCCCTACAGTTTGCTCTCATTTGTTTTCCCAACTTCTTCACTTCTGCAGTAAGCTTACAAATTTTGATATGCTTGTTAAGGAGATGTCAAATTGTATGTGGTATTAAATATATTGTTTTGAAGTGCACTATTGACCATCAGATCAAGAAAAGAAATATGTTGGCTAGTTTGGTCATCTGTGCTATCAAATTGGGCAAAACAACACATAATTTGTTCCCATGCCAAAATGCCAGGTGACATATTGGGTGGTTTTCATACAGATGTGAGCAGAAGTAGATTGGCCCAGAAAATGCATGTAATTGCTTTTCCCGTGTGTTCTGCAGCAGTAATTAGGGCTATACCATTCAAAAAGTCTCTGGTACCGACTCCAAACTCTTCTACCAATGTGCACCATCCAAAAGTGCTCCGTTATTCAGCAACTGTAGGGCTGTCTCCAAGAAGGGTTCTGTCCTCAGTCTTCTTTAATGGATAATATATTATTAGTATATTTCTGTTGGATTCTGAAACAGTGTTTTCCATGCCCATCTTTCTGTACTTTTCTCACTAGAAAAGCTATCAATTGTCATTTTCAGGATGCTGAAACTGAACTGGAAGACAAGAAGTATGAATTGCTTAGAGTCATCCAGGACACTCAACGTGGACTTGTGACAACTGCTGACCAGCGCTCTTCAATTGAGGAAGCTCTAGTCAGTTTTCTTACCCTCTTCTCAAGAGACGGATATGTTTTTAAATGCTCCTTCTCTAATGTGGTTCTAATCTTTCATGAATTCCCCAAATGAGCCAGGTAAGCGTGGAAGCTTTTGATGCAGGTGAAGCCATTGACTTAGGTGAGTTGGATGGGACATGGCGTCTGCAATACACATCTGCTCCTGATGTCCTCATTCTTTTTGAGTCAGCTTCAAGGCTTCCCTTCTTTCAGGTTATATTCGTTGAGGAACTACACATAACCCATTTTCTTTTCCTTTATCCCTTTGTGACCTAAAGTAATCTCATTTCCTGCATCGTCATATCTGTGGTTGACATGGTTGTCAACAGGTCGGCCAGGTTTTTCAAAAATTTGAATGCCAGGATGAATCCAATGGAGGAGTAGTACGTAATATTGTGAAGTGGAGTATTCCAAGTTTGTTGGAGGTAAAGTATCAATTCTATTATTATTAGTGAAATGATTCTCTACTTATTGTTCTTTTTCAAGTTGCGAGGTTGCTTCTTGTGCTTAGCGAGATATCATTTTGGAAACATAACGGTTCATGTAAGACTGCTTACTTGATTATCCTCTGGAAATCCCAGTCTAAGGTGTTGCTTCCAACTTTGAAATGCTGTTTCTTATGAAAGAGTTTGTTTTTTTTTTATTACAAATTTACAGTGAACCAAGTAAAAGGTCAATGAAGCAAATCAAATCATCTTCTAGTTGCTCAAGTATTTTCTTATGTGAATCCAGCTTTTCATAGTGATCCCTTCTTAGCTGATAAGTTACTATAGATCAAACATTTAAGCAGATGTAACATAGAAGTAACATCAGACATAACCTCTTAGGATGATTCTTTCCAGTTCTGAAGGAATATTCGAAATCTTTGCTGGCATTTATGGAAGACATTGTGATGAGATTCTGCTGGTGTGATGGGAGTAGAGTATTTTTGGGGCCGCTTAGGTTGTTTGTATGACTGCATTGTATTTCTGAATCCTAAGAGTTGCCTCACTAACTGTTTGTTCTGTATTAACTATAAATTAATGGTAGAAAAAAGTTGTAGAGTCTGGTTTTCTTTGTCTATTATCTTTTGATTCTTATCCTTTGTGAGCTTTCCGTTGAGACAAATACGATTTTGGCATTCTGACAGGAGCAAGAAGGTGCAACTTTGCTTGTCTCTGCCAAATTCTCTGTTGTTTCGTCGCGCAACATTTATCTTCAGTTTGAAGAGGTTTGCTTCTCAATCTCAATCAATAGTCAATATGAAATGCATATCAAGGATTAGCAAGTTTAAAAAATTATTAGCTGCATGCTCCTTTGAAGAACTTGTGATTTTTATGCCTGCTTTTCAAATGACTAATCTGGAATTGCATATTTACTCTTTTTTCATGGATTAAGGCATTGTAAAGATTTTTTGTCTTTGTAAACTTAAATGTAAGATGGACCTTACTCCTTTGTTTCAATTTTTTTTTCATTGGAGGACTGCGAGTCTCTTTAACAAACTAGTCTTTGGGTACAAACCTCAGTTAACATCATTTCTCAGGATGATGAACTGGAATTTATCAGAAACTGAATTCATGGTTAATTACCAGCTTTCGAGCTTAGCATATGTGGAAATCTCAACTAATACAAAAAGTATTGCAATTAGCTTATTTGGAGTGTTTTTGGGATGCCAACTTTCTTTAACAGATAGCTCTTAACAAGATAAATATTAGTGAAGAATTGCAAGCTCTGATAGCTCCAGCAATACTACCAAGGTCATTTATTAGCTTACAGGTATGTCCTATGCTCTTAAGCTGGAGATTTCCATTGTCTAGTCTTGAATTTTATCTTCTGGCAAGATTTCAGTCTAAATTCTGTTTAATTTAAGCTGAAAGCTAACTATATGCTAAACTTTTCACGAGGTTAAAATTTTTTAAATAAACTGATAAACAAAGAAAAAGAAGCTAAATCCTTATTCACGCTGATATCCTTACTTTTTTTGTTTTTATTTTCTGTGGTCTATTTGAGTTTAGAGGTTAGAACAAAGGTGACCTGAAAAACATGTAAACATTTGTTTGTTTATGCTGCTATTCCTTTCTGCCTGGTTGACGTGTGCTACAGTAAACAAAGCATGCTATATTTGGACTAGGCCCAGGGTCATATTCACATGACCTCTTCAATATGCAGATTATCTCAAGTATGTAACTTTTTACACTATTATCCAATGCTTTTGCTCAGAAGTTGCATGATGAATAACGCAGATCTTACAGTTCATCCGAGCTTTCAAAGCTGAATTTCCTGTGAGAAACCCAGGGAGGTATGTACTGGCACATATAATTGCAATCATTGTTGATCTGTGATTGGTAGATTTTTGAGTAAATTTTACATACACTGTTACTGTATACATTATTGCAGTTGGATTATGACACGCGTGCAAAAATTAGATTTTAAATTCAAATTTTATAAAATTGTCATTCATCTAATATTGACAATATATATACTGTCAGTATTTAGAAGATTAATTCTTAATTTTCGCATGTTATGGAATATGCAGGAATTCTGTGGGAGGTCTGTATTACCTATCGTATCTGGACAGATATATGCTTTTAGGTCGTGCTGTTGGAGGCGGTGGAGTTTTTGTATTCACTAGAGCTCAAGCAATTGTTTTATAAGAAGTTGAAATCACGAGCTAAGTGGTTGTGGTTTGTCCATCCTTTTTGTATTGTTCTCGTCGATTTTGTGAGTTACTTCACCTTTTTTTTTTTAAGTGACAAACTCTATAGACGAGGGAGGAATTTGGGCGATCTTTAGTTGAAATTCTCCTTACAGAACGGTTTTGTTTGAGCTTTTTCTCTAATTGTTTGAATACATAAAATACAATTTGGTTCGACCCTCTGGCTCTGACACCATTGAGAGATATCTGAGCTACAGCTATTTTATAATGGCAAGAATAAACTTCTTGAAGATAAATTAGGCCAAATAGAATTATAGAAGCCTCCATGGCAATGGCTAATGGTATCAAACCAACAAAAATAAAAATTCGTACTCCGAAAATATATACTCAAATATAGTAATGAGTAGAGTCATATCCTCGAGGATTAGGGGTGGGCGCATGTCGGGTACCCGTCCATTCACCATTTGGCTGATCCAATCCGCACCTTGCGGGTCAGCTATTTTCTGATCGTTACTCGCGCCGCATATCAGCAGGTTATAGGGTACCCGTTGAGATAGGGTCGGGTCAGCAGGTACCCGTCTCGTCCCATTTATCATTTAATTTTTTTAAAAAAAAATGATTTATACCAATTTAATTTTATATTTTACACATTCATCTAAGATATAATAAATTTTTTTCTAAAAAAGGTTTCCCACCAAGAAACAAACATGTGAAGAGAATATAAGATAAAGGAAAAAATTAAAAGAATTTAAAATCAATAAAAATTTGAAATAAGTAGCACAATTTTTAATATATATGTTCCACATTAATTAATTTTTTTTTAAAATAAAAGATCATGACTTCTACAAATGAATATTGTAAATAAACTATAGTCTCTCATATTTATAATGCAATTGTTCAATAAAATTACTTATTTTGTTCTAAATTATTATTTTATAGTGTGTGTATAAAAATAAAAATAATATATATATGCGGGGTGGATTGGGTACCCGCGAATTTTTAATTATGTGACCCTAACCCGCCCTGCATCTTAGCGGGTACCCGACTCTCTTTTGACCCAATCAAATAATAAAAATAGGATATCCTAATTTTCGGGTTAGATCGAATCGGATATAACGGATTTTCGGGTTAGCGGATAATTTTGCCCACCCCTATCGAGGACTGTACGATTTATTTCTTTGTAAAACAATTAAATTAAAGGGGGACTGTTGAGAAATTAATCTAAGTAACTCACTTGAATAAAGACAATGATGCAAAAATTTAAATAAAATAAAGGGAATTTCGCCAATTTGGTCCCTAAACATTTTCACTTAAACCAATTTCGTCCTTGATGAAATATTTTAACCAATTTAGTCCTTGAACTAATTTTTGACTTCCAATGTAGGACTTTTCACTGCATTTTACCCAATTTGAGTGGACCAATGGGGGTATAATTGTCACACTGGTTTAATCTTTTGCAATTAACCGACGAAACAAATTAGATTGAAGGTACTCGGTAATTACCAACTTTGTCATCCAATCCAAGTCAACCCGGTGGCTTCTTTTTTTTTTTATTTTTTTATAATCATCTCATTTCGGAGCACTGCGAATATTCGTCGTGGATTGAATTAAACCCAGAAATCGAAATAAATCAGCAACACTCGACATTTCTTTAGCAGGCGAAGATTTACTTGCTGGTACTGGTACTGACTGATAAGTCGATCAAAAATGGTTAAAAAAGAATTTAATAAATAATGGGTTCAGGAAGGAAGGAAGTCAGTTCGTTCATTACAAGGATATTTGATTCCTAATCGGCATACATGCATTCAATCACGAAAAAAGAGATGACATGGGTCGGAGAGTTGAACCCAGAAAGGGGAAAAAAAGGGGGGGGGGTTGGATGGAGATTAAGGGGGCTTTTACACATATTTCTTCTTCTGCTTCAGCTTCATCTAGCCTGCCTAGTTTTAAGTAGTAAACACCTACCAGTACTCGCTCGGTCTACTGTGGAGAGAAGCATTTTTGAGTTTTTGTACTCTACTACTAAACTAGTAAGTTGTTTTCTAGCAACTAATTACTATTATTAAGCATAGACAGATCCGCACGAGAGAGCCATCAAGAGTATAGCGGCTTGTTCTTCCTCTCTTAATTTCCCCATCAGCTTTCCCGATCTCCGTAGCACCATTTCTCCTCCCAACGCCATTAATTTCATCCTCAGCGATTGCCCCACTCCGCCTCCTTCGTTGCTCTTGTTGCCGCCGCTACTGCTTTTCCTCTTCTTCTTGCCCTTGTCATTTCTACCCCTGTCCAGTCCCAAAAGCTCCCTCCTCTTCTTGTTGTACTTGATCCCGCATGCATTGTACAGTGACTGATGATGCAACAACAACAAACGCTAAGGATATGTAAATAAATACTCCACCAAACAAAACACACACTCTATTATCAAGAAATGCTAAGAGTGGTAGCCTGGAGTATATAGATAGAGATTGAGAGACCATTGGATATTATTTACAAATATATATATATATATATATATAGAAGAGAAGAAGATAATGCACCTTGGGACCAGCTGGACCTCCTCTCCACAGAGGCGTTCTGGTTGTATGGCAATCACTGCAACTCTTCAACTGCTTCGAACTGGAAGCCGAAGGGCTGCTGCTGCTGCTACGTTTTGCATTCTACGTTTTGATTTCGTGGAGGTGATATTATTGTAAAAGAAAGGATATCTGCTTCTTCGAAGAAATAAGATGATTATAAAAAAAAGAAGCCACCGGGGTTGACTTGGATTGGATGACAAAGTTGGTAATTACCGAGTACCTTCAATCTAATTTGTTTCGTCAGTTAATTGCAAAAGATTAAACCAGTGTGACAATTATACCCCCGTTGGTCCACGCAAATTGGGTAAAATGCAGTGAAAAGTCCTACATTGAAAGTAAAAAATTAGTTCAAGGACTAAATTGGTTAAAATATTTTATCAAGAATGAAATTGGTTTAAGTGAAAATGTTTAGGGACCAAATTGGCGAAATTCTCTAAAATAAATCAATAGGAAACAAGCTTCTAGTCAAAGGATTGATCATTATTTTGGTTCATTTAATTGATCCTCAATGCAAAGACAAAAATTATTTACTTATAAATAAATTGGTTATGGTTCAACAAATTTTGATAGTCTGTCTCTCATTACTGCGTCAATAACCACAATAAAGTCTGTGTTTATTTTTCTTACCAATTAGACAGTCTAAACAAACTCTTAGAATTTAATTTATTGATAGCATTAATTATTAGAAAAGACTACCCATTATCACCAACAAACTGACAAGTTCAGTTCATTTATATTAGATTATATATTCTCATGATATATATTCAAAAGTTTCTATTACAATTAAATTATATCATTTGTCATAAACACTAAAATTACCAAATAATTACAGATTTGATATTTAAGATGACAATATATTATTCCAATAATTAAATAGTGATTAGTTATTTAATCATATAAAATAATCATCTCAAGAACGAATAGAGAATATATAAATATTTATAAATAAATGAAACAATAAATCAAATTAGATCTCACAGTATTCAATGAACCAAAACTTTGATTATTTTGTTATTAAAACAGGAATTTAGCCATTTCATGGTGAAATCACAGCTAAAAGGAATATTAGAGTTTATTGTTAAAGAGAAAAGAAAGAAAAAGAATAATAAGAAAAATTGTATTTTTTTTTCTAACGAACGAAGAAAAACAAAAGCAAATGAATCCCTTGTTCGGTTCTGGCTTTTGTCCCTCCTATTAAAGAGTCAGGACCAAACTAGGGCTGCAAACGAGTCGAGCCGAGTCGAGTTTTGAGCTAATCGAGCCGAGCCTTAGCTAAATTTTATCAAGCTCGAGCTCGAGCTCGAGCTCGACGAGCTGGCAATTTTCGAGCTCGAGCTCGACTCGAATCAAGTCGAGTCGAGCTCGAGCTCGAAAAAAATAAAAAAAAAAATTTTATTTTTAAAAAAAATAAATAAAATAATATTTTTTTTCTGAATAAATAATAAAATATTAAGGATATATCCGTAATTTCACTATGAAAATAAAAAATAAAAAATATATATATATAATATACGTAATTTTATTATTAAATAAAAATAAAAATAAAAAAATATATATATATTCAAGCTCGCGAGCCTAACGAGCTTAATATTCTGAGCTCGAGTTCGAGCTCGAGTTTGACTCGAGCTGGCTCGAGCTCGACTCGAGCTCGATTAATGTCGAGCTCGACTCGAGCTTAACTCGAGCCGCTCGCGAGCGCCTCGATTCGTTTGCAGCCCTAGACCAAACTAAATAGTGCTTGCGATACCCTCAAAAGGTTAAGAATCATATTCCTAATATAATTCTATTAAGTACTAACTACTGAATAAAACGAGAAATGTTGTTTCCAAAATAATCAAGAAACTCCTAGCTCCATAAGGAAATTAAATTCCATTCCGATTGATCAATAAAAATTCCAAATTGTAAGGGTCACTTCAAAATCCGTGACATCTGGATTTCACGGTAAATTAATACATAGTCATGCCTTATAGAATGTAGGCTCTGTTTGGATTGCTAAGTTTTTCAAAAAATCTAAAAAGTAGTCTAATTTTTTTTAATATTTAAAAAATATTCTAAAATATATTCTAAAAACTCTTCAACTCTTAAATATTCCAAAATATTTTCTAAAAATATTCTAAAATATACTATAAAAATTCTGTTACAGTAAAATTTTTCAAAAAATACCTCCAAACGCATTATTGTCTCCTATCGCATTTACATACTTTTTCCAATTTAGTCTCCCTTATCTAAAACACGAATACATTTGTATTATGTAATTACAAACAAAGATAGACATGCATTATGTAATTACTACAATTTTTTTTTCAGCAACGATACATTTGTATAACCTCCTCTATCCTAATCTAGGGAAGAGGGGGAGCCTAAAGAGGCTGTGGTAGGGGGTTAGTGGGTATACAGATCCAACTAAATCAAGAGAGTGATATGACATAATCCTTAAATTTTTTCGCTGCAGATGAGATTTGAATTCTCACCTACAATTCAATGAGGGACTTAAACCCCTCCCTGGTGGCCACTGAACCATTGGCCCAGTGGTTATGTAATTACTACAATTGAAGAGGGATAAAAAAAATAAGGCTCAGGTATAGTTAGAGCTGGCAATTTGTCCCAAGTCCCAATGGGCTACCCATGCCCAAAGGAACTTTGGGCGGGATGGGTATTATAATTTGGTATTGGGTTTAAATTGGGACACATCCCAACTATACCCATTAATGAATGGGAAAGGATGGGAAATACTTGGGTACCCATTGGGCTCAAATGACAAGGGCTCCGTTTGGATTAGCTGTTTTTGAGGGGTGTTTTTGAAATATTTTATTGTAGCAGTGTATATGAAAAATTTTTACTATAAAATTTTTTTGAAATATTTGATATACTAATATGGATGGGATGTTTCTTGAGTTATTGTATATTACTGTAACATTGTATTTGAAAAACTTATTTTTTGAAAAAATAGTCAATCCAAACGGAGTCTTAGATTCAAAAATCATCTTTAACAATTTTTATAGTCATACCAGCGAATATAATCTAGTAGTCTTCCTAGTCATTATCCACAAGAATTTCCAACATTTCAGTTAGTTTAGACCTGTCATCCTTGGACAATGATGAGGATAAATATTCAACATCCTAAGGATCTTGGCCATCTTGATATATGTTGGAATATGGCTGTATATCTATCTTTTCTTTTATTTGTTAATCCAATTTTTTATGGGAATCTTGAGTATAAAGCACTTGCATGTTTATTTAATAAAACTAAAAGAAATTTAATAAATCAAAAATATTAAAATTATATAAAAAATAAAAAATGAATTAAAGGAAAAAAAATATGTAGAAAATGGATTTGGGTATTGGGCGGGATCAATCTAAACTCATCCCAAACTGATCCCGCCCAAGTTAGTCCCAAAACACATATGGGTAATGTTGGGCCCAAACCCATATGACTCGGTTCCATCTCAAACCCAAGCAAATCCCGCCCATCCCGCCCATTTTGCCACCTCTAGGTATAGTTAGTACATAGGACAGGCGGCTGAAATGATCACGTGGAATAGAGCCGCAAAAGCCAAGAATAATTTCTTGGCTTTTGCGGCTCTATTCCACGTGATCATTTCAGCCGCCTGTCCTATGTACTAACTATACCTAGAGGTGGCAAAATGGGCGGGATGGGCGGGATTTGCTTGGGTTTGAGATGGAACCGAGTTATATGGGTTTGGGCCCAACATTACCCATATGTGTTTTGGGACTAACTTGGGCGGGATCAGTTTGGGATGAGTTTAGATTGATCCCGCCCAATACCCAAATCCATTTTCTACATATTTTTTTTCCTTTAATTCATTTTTTATATAATTTTAATATTTTTGATTTATTAAATTTCTTTTAGTTTTATTAAATAAACATGCAAGTGCTTTATACTCAAGATTCCCATAAAAAATTGGATTAACAAATAAAAGAAAAGATAGATATACAACCATATTCCAACATATATCAAGATGGCCAAGGTCCTTAGGATGTTGAATATTTATCCTCATCATTGTCCAAGGATGACAGGTCTAAACTAACTGAAATGTTGGAAATTCTTGTGGATAATGACTAGGAAGACTACTAGATTATATTCGCTGGTATGACTATAAAAATTGTTAAAGATGATTTTTGAATCTAAGACTCCGTTTGGATTGACTATTTTTTCAAAAAATAAGTTTTTCAAATACAATGTTACAGTAATATACAATAACTCAAGAAACATCCCATCCATATTAGTATATCAAATATTTCAAAAAAATTTTATAGTAAAAATTTTTCATATACACTGCTACAATAAAATATTTCAAAAACACCCCTCAAAAACAGCTAATCCAAACGGAGCCCTTGTCATTTGAGCCCAATGGGTACCCAAGTATTTCCCATCCTTTCCCATTCATTAATGGGTATAGTTGGGATGTGTCCCAATTTAAACCCAATACCAAATTATAATACCCATCCCGCCCAAAGTTCCTTTGGGCATGGGTAGCCCATTGGGACTTGGGACAAATTGCCAGCTCTAGTCAATTCACATCAACATTTATATATTTTTTTATGGCAACAATAATATCTCTATAACATAAACTATCATAAGGGGTAGTAGATATAAGAATTTGACTAAATCAAAGAGGTGCTCTATCACTTCTTTAGATTTTTTCACTACAGGTAGAGTTCAAACCCCCAACCTATAGTTCAAAGAGGAATTTGGTCCCTTATTGGTTACATCAACATTTATGTCATTTATATTCAATTATTTATTTATTGTAACGCATCGCTTTTTTTTTATTATTAATATTCTCACTACAATCACAACATAGGGTGGAGTCATCTATTTGTCATCCAGACATGTGAATGAAGTTTAGATGGGTTGTTTAAACCTTTCATGGGATATTTATGTGCATCAAATCTTGAACTTTTAACATCTTAGCCATAGCTTTAATTACATAGGACATTGTACAAGCTTACAAGGTACGGATCAAATCAATGACTAATGCTACCAAGTGAATCATTTCCTAGTAAAACTCTTCAAGTCCACATTGAAAGCATCTTGAGAAATCATATTTACCTTAAAAGGCTGAAATGTTAAGTTGATTAATTTACATGCTCTAGTTGCTAGCAAGTTAAACTTGGCACATAAAATCCTCTGGATTTGCAACTTCTATTGCCTCCCCTTGTCAACTTTTTTCTTTTTTTGGTTCCCAATGAATGACAATTACTTCACTCCTAATTTGAATACCCCTTTTGTAGTTGATCACCGAATGGCTGGAGCAACGTTCTTGGAACTATATGTTCTTATTTAGGGGTGTGAATCGAAATCGAAATCGGTAATTCGGAACTTTGAAATCAAAATTTTTCGAAATTTTGATATCAGAATTTTTTACCGATTTCGATTTCGAATTCATCAATTTCGAATTCAATTCGGAATTCGGTAAATTCCGATTTCACCGAATTCATGAATACAAAAATTATTATTATTATTATATAAATATTATATTACATATATATATATATAATATTATATATATGTGTGAAAACGAAATTGAAATCGAAATAGGAATTTCGATTTCACCGAATTCATGAATATAAAAATTATTATTATAATATAAATGTTATGTGTGAAAACGAAATTGAAATCGAAATAGGAATTTCGATTTCACCGAATTCATGAATATAAAAATTATTATTATAATATAAATGTTATGTGTGAAAACGAAATTGAAATCGAAATAGGAATTTCGATTTCACCGAATTCATGAATATAAAAATTATTATTATAATATAAATGTTATATTATATATATATATATATGAAAAACAGATTTGAAATCGAAATAGGAATTCCGAATTCCGATTTCGAATTCGAATTCGAAATTTCTGATTTGAAAAATCTCATTACCGAATTCGACAAATTCAAAATTGGATATTCCAATTTTTGGTTCCCAATGAATGACAATTACTTCACTCCTTGATCACCGAATGGCTGGAGCAACGTTCTTGGAAATGTATGTTCTTAGTTATGAATGCTCCCATTCATGTGCAAAACAAATTAAAAAAATATATCAAAAGAGAAAATGCATTTGAAAATCTAATAACGATTTTAAAATAACAGAGTGTTCTTTCACTTGTGTATAGTGTACATGGCAAAGAACAACTGTAAGTATGGTTATTCAATTGTTGATTTTGTGGTTATCTAGGAGTTCCTTTCATTAGGTAATGACATAATGTTCATTATTCAATTGATGGTAATTGATTGTTTACTTAGGAATTGCAATTTTGATAATGACATAATGTCCATTGTTGCTGTTAACATCATTGGAAACTGCATGACTATTTAATATTAGGGAGTGAGGCAGGAACAGTTGTTAGATCAACCGTCCGTAAATAGTGTAACAAGTTTTGAACATTTTGTAACTTTATGTAAACCTCTTGTACATTTGTAACAACAGAAATGTGATAATACACTTCTGTGAAGAAACCTCAGGGGATAGGATTTTGAAATTATCCCTTATGTTTTTGTCATGTCATTTATTTTGGTGCAGTTTGAAATAATACATTATGGGACGTCAGGGAACCAAGAAGATGAATCTTACAAAAGATAAAGGCAAGCAGGTTGAGGAACATTATGACAATAATCCAGTAAATCCGGTGAAGCCACCAACTGATTTCATTGCATACAGGTATGGCTTTATAGAACGATTATTGTCTACATTTGGGGCTTTGAATTAGTTAAAAAACTCATGATAAAATCAAAAGTCTATGTGATGGATCTAATCATATTAAATCATGGTAGGATTGACTTCGCACGCAAGCAAAAAGCAAAGGGAAAGACATTAACAATTCAGGAGCTAAACATAGCTGCTGGAAATGCATGGAACAAATTGAGTGATCAGGAGAAGCTTGTATGGAAAAATGAAGCAGATATGAAGAAATATAAGGAGCTTATGAAAATCTACAAGGAGTCTATAACGGATAGGGGAGAAAGCATAAAGAGTGAAGTAGCAAAACAAGTAAGGACGTAGCATCAAATTTTATTGTTTTTAAATTAAATGATTTAGAAGTTTCAAAGCGCAAGTGCAAGTATTGGACTGTTATTTGTTAATTTTTATCAACATTGTTATATTGTTTTTATTGGCATACAGGTTTAGGTACACACCAGCTAAATTTTTA